CCGGAGTGACGCCAGCCCGCCAGCATGTGCCAGAAAACCCCCAAACTTCAACGCCGGCAGATTTGGTGCACAAACATAGTGCCCCACACCGCTGCCAAACCCGGGGAGGTTTGCACTGCACCGCTTAATTGAGGGTCTGGCCTCAGAGGAACGGCCGGGAGGCCAGAGGGTATAATAACACTCTGGCTTTAAATTAAAATAAATATTGACGCCAGCCCGCCAGCATGTGCCAGAAAACCCCCAAACTTCAACGCCGGCAGATTTGGTGCACAAACATAGTGCCCCACACCGCTGCCAAACCCGGGGAGGTTTGCACTGCACCGCTTAATTGAGGGTCTGGCCTCAGAGGAACGGCCGGGAGGCCAGAGGGTATAATAACACTCTGGCTTTAAATTAAAATAAATATTGGGAAATCTGTTCTCAGGGGGTGTCTGCCTCCCATTTTGGGAAATTCTGTCACTGTTTTTTCAAGAAAACAAAAAAGACCAACCTCACAGATCTGGCTCTACAGTCACTTGGACATAGTCGTTAGACAAAAAAGGCTAAATCCAAACAAGTCCCTCTCCAGGCTGCCTACAGAGGTGAAACAGGTCTTGGGGAAGGGCAGGGAAAGAAAAGGGGACTCAGACACAGGTGTTAGCAGTCCCCCTTTGAAAGCCATTTCCGCCACAGTGATGCTACAAAATGCATGTCATCTTTGTTTCTCATACCCCCCAAACCACATAGACCCATGCAGGGGCCAAGCTGGCCCCCTGCTCTCCAAAACCAGGTATTCCCTAGCTGAAATCTGTACATGTCCCCAGCAAAGCAGTATAAATGCCTGGGGCAAAAAAACCTTGCAAACCCGCCACCCTCACGGCCACCCAAAACTCAGCGGGAGCCTTGGTGGCAGTATAGGGCCAGTGGTCAGAGCCCGCTCCTCCTGCCCTATGCCTGACGGTGGACTGCCCCCCTGCACCCACATCTGCAGGGACATCCTTTCTCCTTTCCCTATATTTATTGTTTCCTGCTGGGATTTGCCCAGCTCTCCAGTGCACCTCTACTCACTCCCAGATTTTTCTTGCACTCATCAGTGAAGTCCCCTTGGTACTCCTGCACGCGCCCGGGCTTCAGCAGCTCAGGGAAATGACTCCTTGCTGAATGCAGCTTTGTTTCCCACAGTGGCAAGGAGAATTGCAAATCCCACCTGGCAGCTTCAGCCCTACAACCCTCAGAGAGGGCACTGCAGGGCTGGAAAATGCATGCTTTCAAGCAGGTTGATGACGGGCAGAGTAGCTGGTGATAAAACTATGGTTATTTAGGGCAGTAAAATGCGCTCTGCAGTCGAAGACCTGAATGCTCGTGTTTCTGCTTTAAAACCAGGGGAGCCCAGTTTGAGTCTGAATTTGATTGGGAGGCAAAAGATTTCCAGTTAACCAAATTCCCAGCTTAGAACCAGAAAGGCAAAGCTTTTTTGGTTGTTATTATTTTGTCTTCTTGCTCATCACCACATCAACAGGTGCATCATGGGGAGTTGCTAACTGCTGACGAAGTGCCATGCACATCACATGCTTTTGGGAAGGGAGAAGTACCTTGCAGCCCCCCAAAGGTCCAGCAGCCCTGGCAGCAAACTGGGCCACGTGCCCACGGTGCAAACCCCAGGGCTGCAGGGTTCAGCTGCGCCTGCCCCATGGTCTTCAAAGCCTCTTGTGTCACTGTAAGGAGCGATAATTACAAGGGAGGCCTGGAGCTGGCTGTCTAGGGCCAGGAATACCCACACATGAAAAGAAAAGAAAAGAAAAAAAAGCAGCCACGCAGTCTTCCCATGCCAACAGAGCAGCCTCCGCTAAAGAGGGACACTAGCATCGTGAGGGACCCGGTGCGCCCCCCAGCCCCATGGGGCTGGGGCAGCTGGAGTGGCTGCCCTACTGGGGGGTGATGCGGGGGGCACAGGACAGAAACAGCCCTGCTTCCCACTGCCCTGCACTGTCACGGGATGCCCTGCTCAGGAAAGCGGTGAGCACGTGCCCAGCTTCAGGCTTAAATTTCATCAGGGCTGGGGAACAGAGAGGGCTGGTGGGAGGCAATTTTTAATGTAATTAAAGGGCTGCTGCTCCAGGCTGCTTAAAAAAAGAAAACTGACTATAAAAACGCATATTTCACCCAAGATCCCTAAAAAGCAACAGGATAATTAACATGTGCCAAAGTGCCTTGCATGGCCAGCACCTATGTTTAGCTCCTGGCCCAAGGAGCGGGCGCTGCCTGGGGCAGGCCACCGGCAGCAGCAACCTCACAGCACCATGCAGGAAGACCAACAGGGAAGTTGGCCAAATGCATCAGGAATGTTTCCATTTAAAATAATACTAATTATTTAAAAAAATAATTAAAAAAGCATCACACCTCAGGGTTGGAGCATTGGTCTCTTAATGCTTTTGCAAGAACTCCAGCTCTCCAAGGCAGCAGGGCTTGGAGAGGTCACTCATTTGCCCAAACGCAGCGGTTGGTATCTGTTACTAAAAGTGATCACAGGATCTGATAGCTTCATGAAAATAATCTTGCCTTTGTAGATAAACAACTGGAAACAAAACATGGGACAGCTCACCTGTCTCTGGAGGATGTGCCAACAGGTGACAGCAGCAAACCCCCATTTTTCAGGAGCACATTGAGACAAGGAGGCAGGCATGCATTCTGCAGCCCACCTGTGCAACTGCAATGGTTTCCCTTCTGCACACCCATCAGGTTTTTAACATGTACAAGTACAGTGCTGTGTTGCTGATTACATGCTTTGGTGAGAGAGTGGGGGGTTAGTCAGGCAGCCCGCTACCCGGGCCCTGCATGGGTGCATTGCTGCCCTCGCAGAGGATGACAAAACCCGCCAGGCAGCTGCTGCTGCGCCCAAGCCCCACTGTCAGTCCCGTGACCCAGCGCTGGTGGGGTTTGCACTAGCCACTGGCACCAGCTTTGTGCTGCAATGGGGTGGGCTTGCACCCAGCATGGCCTGGCACGGGCATGTGTATGGTTTTGATGTGATTGCCCAAGCCCATGGAGACCTCATGGTCAAAGCGTCCCTGTCTGGCACAGGCTGACATGGCTCCTATGTCCAAATCTAATTATTATTTTTGCAGGGCGGTAAATGAGCAGAGCAGCATGCTCCTGTCCTGCCCGGGTCCACTGCGGGACTGAGGCTGTGGTTGGGGCTGCACCATCCTATTTCTACGCCCTGGAGCTATTCTGGAAAGAAACCTCAGGGCCAAAAATAAGTAAGGAAAACAAACCCAGAAGGACACTTTGAGCATGGTGGGGAGAAGCTGAGGTGCTGCTGCTGCAGCCAGTGAAAGGGGCACCCCTGCCATGCAGCACAGAGGCCAGGGCACCTCCGAAATGTGTGTGGGGGACACCGGAGCCAGCTTGCCCTGGCTTCTACCTCTCCCCATGTGCTGTCAGGGACAGCAGCATGTGTGCCACGGCCACAAACTGGGGAGCAAAGTGATGAGCAAGGAGACGGTGCACCAGCGACAGCATAACAATAAGGTATCCCTCTCTCATCCCCTTTTCCTCCCACTGCTCAAACCCAAATGCAAACCAACATCAGCTGGGCGTGCAGCTTGCTATTTTTTTGCAAGCAAGTTGATTTTAGAATAAAAGTGAGAGGGGAGAACACATAAAATGCACGACGTATCAACCTCAGTTATCAGTACACAACCTTTATATATTGGCCCTCTACAACTAAACATTTCATATGGTTTTCCTTTTTCTCTGAGGCAGGAAAACGGGTCAAGGAAATTGATTCTATTTACACACC